AAATTGACTTTTACACCTGAAACCTAAATTTAGATTACAAGAACACATATAACTTGTTTGTTGTGCCACATTTGCCAACCTATCCCACAACTACTAGCTCCTCTCCAATACAACCTACAAAGGCTATAGGTCTTAGTACTGGGAAGGCCAATCACCATGAGACTGACACCTCTTATGAACAGGTCTGCCTATGTTTTTAACAAATTAATCATCCACGTCTAAGAGATTAGTAATGCTGCTTCTAATCTTTGAAATTCATAGTGTTTGCAAATAAAGATATATCAAGTACTCAGTGAGCTAGAATATGCCTCTTCATCTCTTCTACTTGGTTCAAGATTACTTTAAAAACCTACTTAGGGCAAACTGGGATGCCTGACCCAGTCCTTAGGTTGCCAACCAATTCTTTCAACTCTTCAAGCAGAATAATAAATTTAGCGTATTTGTTATATCTTTCAATTAGTTTGCCTACAACCCTTATTAAAAATATGTTTGGAGGGATTTCTGACCCTTCCCCTCACATTTCTTGGCTGGAGATTTAACAGTGTAAACTAATTTTCACTGTTTGAAAAGAAGTATCATCCCAAATATATAGGAACAAATTGAAGGTTCAGTTTGGGATTCCCTTTCTCCCCCCCAAACACACATGTGATGTCTTTAAATCACGGTCGCTAATTTAAGATAACATATCTTTGGATCTTTGCAAGAAGTTCTAAGCTTCAGTAAATTATCTGATCTTTTTCCTGCCATTCCAGATATCTTCCTCTTACTCCTGCAATCAAAGGTATATTGCCTAAGAATCAAGCATATCTGGGGATTTTTGCAAGCAAAAAAACAAATGTAATTCCCGCAGCCAGCACATAAAACTTATTTTCCAGACAATACTTAAAAAAATAAACTTGTCTAAGATGTTATTTCTCTCTAAACAACTCCCAAACCTTAATTATGTTAACAAATTTACAGATATTTTACCTTCTCCAAAAGTTTCCCCATAAAATTTCAGTCTTATCTCTCGCCATATTTTTTTCCCTCAAAATACTTCTTGGCTAGTGAATAAGACTGCAATCCTATATCTATTTAACTGGGAAACAGTGAAATTTCCAAAAAGGCATCCATAAGTTTACATTTTAAATTCCGCCCCCCCCCCTTTGAAAACTGAACAGAACAAAATTTTGTCTGGCAGAGGAAGCCAATAAAAGAAAAATCAGGTCTGAAAATGGGTCAGATCCAGCCAGGGATTACAGAGAAAAGTATTCCAGAGAAAATGCATCTCTATGGAAGATGGGGGTTAATCCCTATGGTGGGGGTTAAAAGTGTAAACTTATGGATGTCTTTTTAGAAATTTCAAGATACACTATTTTTCTTAGCAGGAACAAGTTACTTGTTGGTGAAAACTGAAACTCCAACATTTTAGTGCAGTTCTAATATTAATAAAACCTGTTTCTTGCACCACTGTTTTTGTTATGAGCATAATTCCAGCCACAAAATAACTGAAATAGTGGTAATATTTGCCCACAATATTTCAAGTAAAAATAAAAACTTCAAATATTAATATATTGGGAATGTTAGGCAGGCATTTCTTTTTATAATAGCAAAAGAATTTTTATACTATCCTAGTATAAAGGATCATAAAGATTGCAAAGATCATAAAGAAAGCAATTCCTGCCCACCGGCTTGCAGATTAGTAATTGCAAAGAAAAAAGAAAGGAGAAAAAAATAGCTGAAAGTTCAGCAGGTAGTAATTTAGTATATAACAGAACTGAAGCACAATAGAAGATTTGCTGATTTCTTTCTCTCTGGTAGCCTCAAGTGGTAGTTGGAAGAAATGCTCTATCAATACACAATGGAGGCTATTAGCTACTATTTCCTCTCCTTCTGAAGGCATCAATAATGGCAATTGGCAGCTACATACTTTATTACAGCTTCCTGTATAGATTCTTCAGGACTAGACTAACAATCTGTGCTTATCAATTTGAAATGGTAAATAGAACTGATATGACAGAGGCTCTAACCTATAGAGGAGTTGACATTTGATGACAATTCTACAGAAAATAACCACATTTTAATCTATTTTGGTAATATAAATTATTTAAATGAAACTTATCTACGATGTATAGATTAACTAAGGGCACTGAAGATCTTGAACAGAGCAACACTATTTTCATATAATAAAATAGTTAAGAATTAACAGCCAGTTTGGTCTAGAGGTTAAGGCACCAGGCTAGAAACCAGGAGACTCTGAGTTCTAGTCCTGCCTTAGGCATGAAAGCCTGCTGGGTAACTTTGGGCCAGTCCCTCTCTCTTAGCCCAACTCACCTCACAGGGTTGCTGTTGTGGGGAAAATAGGAGGAAGGAGTATTAGGTATGTTTGCCTCCTTGAGTTATTCATAAAAATAAGAAAGGCGGGATAAAAAAATCTGGAAAGAAAAAGTTACTAATCACCCTGCCAGTGTTTAAAAATTTCCATCATTCTCTAGAACTAATAAACAAATAGACAAAGCCTGCAGAGCATGATTTCAGGAATTCTTTCTAATCATTCTTCTGGCCATAGAAGGCACAACTATTTTCCTTTGGATAAAGAATTAATTTGTTCAGTCTGCGTGGGTGCATGTGTGTGTTTCTGTTCTCCCCTTGTGCTGCAGTTGTGTGAAACAATCAGCAACATAACTCCTTCTTCTGTACAAATGCATTTTCTCTGGAATGCTTTTCTCTGTAATCCCTGGCTGGATCTGACCCATTTTCAGACCTGATTTTTCTTTTACTGGCTTCCTCTGCCAGACCAAATTTGGTTCTCTTCTGTCCAGTTTTCAAAGACATATCCAGCTGAAAGACAGAATCCTGAGCTTTTCTTTCTAACATTCTGTTGGGTTAGAAAGAATAAAGAGAGAGAAATGAAACCGAACAGTAAATGTGTATTAAAGCAGTGGTGGCACAAAAGGCTGAAGACACTTGACATAGCATCCTTTTTCAATCAATGCCTCAACGAGAGGGATTGTGTATAAATGGTGCTAAACAGAAACCCTACAGAGAATGGCTTATCTGATTCTTTCCAATCTTTCCACAACAGCTCCACTTTGGGTCATGTGACTGGAGAGGGCTTAAGAACGGGACACTTAGCCACGTTTCAAGCTGCTGCCTTGAATGGACCAGGGGATTTTCTTTTTCTGGATATTTTTTCTCCACAGCCTCCAGCTGGAACTGGCCCATTTTCAAACTTGATCTTTCTTTTGCTGGGCTCTCTGGCATGCCAAATTTGATGCTGCTCTCTTCTCTTTGGGAGAGTTATCCTGCTGACATGCATGTGGTCAGACAAGAGTTCTGAAACTCTTTACGTAATTCCTTTCCAACATTTGGTTGAATGGGAAAAGAATAAAAAAGTTAAGAAAATATTACTTTTTCATTAAGGTTCCAATATTATAGCAAATCTAACAGTTTTAATAATTTGACTATGTAGTATATTCCAAGTTAATCTCAGATATTGGGAGGCTATTTAATTCTACCTGGGGATTCCAGGCATCACATTTTCAAACCTGAAAATGAAATGGACATGAAGACATTGCACTTGGATGAAGACTCAATTAGTTCCCAGACAATTCCCAACCCATAACTGCAAATCACAAAGGTAAGCCAAAGTAAAACATCACCTGCCCACTTTTTAGACCTCAGGGCTAAAAACAGCAAGTATCTTGAGTAAATTCAAACTCATGAATACTATTTCCACTCCATGGATCTCCTTCGGCAATAGGAAAACCCTTGTCAAAAAGATATTGAGAGTTTAAGATGTTTCCTGGATGAACAAATTCTCTCTCCCAATTTCTTTCAGATATACAGTTTTACATTCATACACACATTTTCATTGTACATACCCTGTAAAATTATTGGAAATATACCAAAATGCAAAGCTTTATTCAGGACATATCAGACTATGCTCCAGATCTCTCTGAAATATTGAGTTCTGAAACTTGTATAAATTAAAGAACCAATTTTAAAAATATACCAAATGTTTTCTTTTACCGTGGAGCACAACAGATACACTCAGTACAAATATATCTTCAGTGCAAAAGGTTATAGAAAGAGTTTCATGGTATGGGCTCTCCTGAAATAAATTACTATACCAACATTAAAAATATGGGCCACATGTAAAAACTAATCTTTAAGTCTGAGCTAAAATCTTTAATATATTTTACTGATATTTTGAAGCAAAACCAATACAAAACCAAGCTATATAAATCTCACTGGTTTTACTGGAACTAAATGAAATTATGTGTTCTTAATTATTCTGTGGAAATCAAAAGACATTGCTACATTTTAGTTGGTTCCTGTCCAACATTTTTAATGTCTTTACATTAATTACAGAAATCTAGATACAAAAGCCTTTTAGCTGCATTTCAGGGTTTACATACTATTACATAGCAAAGTACTGAGATTTTTACCTGCATCTGGCATCAATATCTTTAGACTCTAAGTTGGATTTTTTCTGAGAACAAAAATGTCTATAAAGTCTATTTAAAAATTATTTATTCCAGGTGTTAAACAATGATTTAATATGTTAGGAAAATCATGTGATGCAGAATATAAAATGTACATTTTAAAAACAGTTTTATATACATGCTGACTACATGCTATGCATTGAACACCAAAAATGTGCCTGAACAATTGGGTCACAGACTCCAAAAGAACAAAAGAAAATTAATTCATTTTTATATACAGTATTACATTAGAAAAAGATAAAATGTATTCCTCCACAAATAGGCATTTTAAAATAACATACAGTATTTATCTCACTACCACAGTTTTCTACATATTCATAAGTGACAATTTTGTTATTAAAGGTGGTTTGGGTTTGGGTTCAGTCTCCTGGAAGCTTTGCTCGCATTTACTAGTCCCTCACTCTCACCTATCACCATTCCACCAGTATCTTTTTTTTTTTTACTCTTCCAAAATATAATTCATGTTTACAATAAATAGTATTTCTTGAAATTTTATGCTGGCAACATATGAAATACTACAAAGCCTATACATCAGATTGTATTTGACTGCCTATTTTTTCCTTAGATAGAGCAGGAATTAGCCCGTTTTCTAGGAACTGGCTCTTGAACCATGCTATCTTTTTTACATATACAAGCTGAACATATTGTCTCTGACAATCTCCAAAGCCCCAATCTAAAAACACTATTTGACAGACTATATATTACACAGTTACAAAAACTATTGCTTATAGCAAGCCAGGTTGTTACAAAAGAGAGTGCTGGATTTTCCAGCACCCTAGTGCTCTCTAGCATGAAGTATATAATGTAGGGCAGCCAGAGCACATAAAACACACTGGTTATACGAAATAAAACCATAGCATAGCGACTATCTGGGTTATGTCCAGTTTCTGCAGCAGTATCTACTTCGTGACTAGGAAATCGAGCTCTCCTGTCATTTATCTCTTTGGTGTGCTGCCGGCAAATTCTGAATATATGGAAATATGTAAAACAGATTATGAAGGCAGCTGGAGCATAGAGCAAGCAGACAATAAATCCGGTAAAATAGACATTGGTGAGCCAAGAATTTGCACACCATTCAAAAATATCTCCATGATAACCGGGCTTTCCCCAGCCAAAATAGGAAGGCAAGAAGATAAGGCCTGAGTACAGCCAAATCAAAATAATGCAGATTCTCAATCGACAAGGGGTGACCAACTGATTATAGGAGAGTGGTTTTGTGATTGCAAGGTAGCGATCCACACTAATGAAAGCAAGGCAGGCCATAGAAACACTTTTCAATACAGAGATGACATACACAAAAATTTGACAAGTTAAGGACTCATGGACACCTGTAGAATAGTGAAGCAATGACAAGGTAGGAATTAAGCAACTAATCCCAACAAAAAGATCAGCATATGCCATAGTCTGAATAAAGTAGCTGGTGGTATAATGATGCAACAGTGGAGCACAGTGAATGACAAAAATTACTGTTAAGTTACCAGCAATAATTAAAAATGTTAGTAAGATGATAATAATAGTCTCAAGGATGCAGATGTCAATGGCATTATAGTGTCCCAATCCAAAAGGGCAGGAGAGATGCTCAGATACATTCACAATACTATCATTCATATTCAGATTCTTCCATTCAGTCCATGGGAACTGGTTCATAGTTTGTATTATTTGACAATATGGTCAGAATTCCAGTTACTAGCAATCCATTGTTCACCTGCTAATTTTTTTTCTGTGCCTCAGTTTCTCCATGTAAATCTTAACATTGCTCCTGAATAGTTAGCACTGAATCTAAAAAGGAGGCAAAAAGGCCACTATTCAGCTTCTTCCTGTACTCGTTCCTTTCTTAGCAAAACACAAGGCACTTGTAAACAAAGCCAATCATTCAAGCTACTCTTTTGAAAGGCAGAAATACAAAAATAGCAGGGGTGGGAAAGAAAAGAAATACACAATGTTGCAATTAAAAATTCTGGAAGTACGTTTTCCTGGGGAAGGGAGGAATTTTAAAAAAGGAAGCCATGGTGAAAAAAATGTTCTGTACACTATTTTTGAAACCAAATAATAGTAATGTCTAAGAACAACGTGACTAAGAAATCCAGTAAAATGTTTATTCTGGTATATCGTATCTTTTGGTTTTCAAGTCATAATGTCCTTTGTATCATCTTAATCCATTCTGCATTTGTATGGATATAGTTCTGAACATACGAATGCAAACTAGCTTCATTAGTCTTTGGTAATGTGAAAAGAAATATTGTTAAAGTAGTAACTGATTTGTGGAGACTCCTGTCATCCCTTTGATGCACTAGATCGTCTCTGTTTAGTTAAGAAGGTAAAGTATAATAAAGAAAAGGCACACACTGGCATAGTGTTAGAGTTTCAACAGCCAATTCAGTTTGAAATGCGATGCCGACTGTAATGCGAAAATATCAGCAAGATAATCCAAGCTTCTCACAGAATACAAAACTGTCTTGCATTTAATGTCAGGAAAAATAAAGTGAATTGATTGTCTTCTGAAATAAGGCTACAACTGCAACAACATAGGATCATTATAGTGAAGTTCATAGCTCTGTCCCAGTCATTTCTCACCTCTATAGCAATCTCCATATTTTTTCATATGCTCAACACAATGAGATTGTTAACTCCCATCTACATTTTTCTGTGAAACTAATGAAATGTTGATTTAACAGGAAAAGCTGTATAGTATTGGTATAGTATTATTCCATTTATTTTCTGGATTCATTTTTCCAGTTGCTGTGTATGTATTTTCTTTAGTAATTAAAATAACCATCTGCTTCAAAAGGCTTGTATGATGTGAGCAAAACATTAACATATTCATTACATCTGCAATAATGACACATCCATGGGTTTCAATACTCACTAATAAGCAGGCATTCGATACATGCAGCAGTCTGACTTTCTAACCTACCCACTATCTCTACCCAAATCAAATGCATTTTTAATTAAAGATCCAAAGGAAACCAAATCATCCAGTCTTAAAAAATAAAAATCCAAAGTCACTTCAATTTTATATTAAAGCATAGGTGAAGGGCTCTTTTTTCTTTTCTTTTTTAAAGTGCTGGAATCACACTTGCACTATTTAATAGTCCTTGGTGTGGAATTCCTTACATGAGAGAGAGAATGAGTATTTTTCTCTGCTCCTGCTGCAGCAACAGAATAGAAGACATCCTTTTCTAAGTTTCACGTCTCATGTTCCTCATCACCACGAAGTGCTGAAAATCCTTATTTTTAATGCCATCCATAAAATGTTGCCTGTGGTGCGCTTCCGTAAGGAGTCCAATCTATTGTAAAATTAATATTGATTGCCTTCTCTTCCCAAAGCAATAAGGAAGTGTATTTGATAATACACTAGCTTTTGTCTCAAGATGAGGTATAGATGCTATCCTGTTGGCTGAGAGGGTGCTCTTTCTACTCCTTACATGTTTCCTCGTGACATTACAGTTTTCACCTAAGTCTGCCCCTCCTCTTCATCCTTAGCTGATGCAGAAAAACTCACCATCAGGAAGGTGACTCGGTCCTTCAGCCCCAGTCAAAAGCGCAGCCAATGGCTATTACAGCTGAAGCTGTCACTAGGTAACAGTTGCCAGGCACAATGCTGGCTTATACCCTTCCACAGCAATCCATGAATAAGGATGACAAATGAAGATAATGAAAGTGACCACCCAAATTAATATATTACAGACTGTAGGAACAGAGGCGTTTTTTGCCAGCTACATTCTTCCAATTAACAAGCCATAAAATATTCATTGGGGTAACACTACATGCTCCATCACCAAAGCCGTCTTTACCAAACTATACAGTGGAACAGAAGCAGTTAGCAAGTCAGCAGTAATTTAATTCTCACTGACAAGAATTATCTATTCATGATTAAACTCATAAAAAAGTAAAAAAAAAAAATTCCCGATCAAATAACTGACATTTCAAATTATAAATTCAAAGTCTTATTGTTTTGGCTATTATAACAACTGTAATGAAGACAAACATGTAAAATGCACTATAAAAAACACCCATGCGTTTATTTCCAGGAATGTACATGGTAAATAATGATAATAAAAATCAAATTCTCAAGTCATGCTACACTGCAAACTCAGATTACTATATATAACCCAAATCTACAGAATCTTAATAGCACCATAAAATTGCTATCAGTGTAATTGAGGCAATAGCCTAGTAATTGCATCATTAAAGATCCTAAAATTATACCAAGTGCAGAAGTTGTTTGTTTTTTTGAAAGAAAATGCTCTGATGTTAAATAACTCCATTGTTTGCTATTATTGGACTGCTAACATCTTCTACTAGAATACTTAGCATTTTGTAAATATGCTAAATATGACTGGACTGCTGGGTTCCAAAGTAACATTTTATTTATTTTATTTCTTTAAATAATTTATATGGCTACCCATCTTACAACAGTGATTCCAGACAGCAGGAGTTTTAACAGGATTAAAACAACAGTTACAAGCAATGATCCATGACATCTGAGGTAAACAATACATCCCAAACAGAAAAAAACACATGAACAGCAGAGCTCGCCTAACTATCTGGCCCAAATGCCTGGGAAAAAACCAGGTCTTCAGAGCTTTACCAAAGGCTAAGAGGGTCAGGACCATCTGGATCTCCAGGAAGGATGCTGTTCCACAGGGCAGTTGACACTGCAGAGAAGGCAAAACTCCTGGGTCCAACAAGATGGCATTTTTTGATGGAAGGGACCCAGAACATACCCTCTTTAATAAACCTGATGGGGCAGGCAGAAACAGTAGGGACAGGTGGTCCTGCAAATAGCCTAGTCATATGCTATGCAGGTGACAGCTAACACCTTGAATCACACCCGGAAGTCTATATGTTGTATGGCTTTGTCTGGCACACAATATTACTACTGTCATCATCATCATCACCATCATCAACAACTACCTTCTACCATAGACAAACAACTTTAAAGACAATATTTAGAGAAAATTCTGTGGACTAGAACAGAGACTTTCCAGGGGAGATGCCCTGCTTAAAAGCACACTCTCATAGTCAGGAAAAAATGTGCTATATAGTTTGTTTCCATTAGGCATTGCAATGTTTGTTCATTCTGCTTGGTAACAATATAGCCTCTCTATTATAAATTTAAAGATTTTTTGTTATTTTAAAATAGTTTAATTTATGAAACTTATAGCTTTATTTTATAGTCAGTAGCTGTCAAAAGAGTTCAGTTAACATAGCATAACATTTAATTTTACATTTTCCCCTTAAGCTAGCATTCTCAAATAATATTTAATGTTTAGGGTCTGTAGGCTGCAAACACCATCACGCCATATATATTTGACATCTTGCAACATCTCAAGGGATTTTGACAGACAGTGGTATCACTGACTAATTCAACAACAACACCTCAGGATGTTATTTAGCAAAGTTATTTAGCAACATTTATTCATTTAAACTTGATGCCAGAAATGGAAAATGTCTTTTGCACCTCCAGAAACCCTCACTACACATAACCCTAGAAAATAGGCAGATTTTAGATTATAGATTACATCTTTTTCAACAAGAAATATCCCATTGCATTTACATAGAAAAAGGCCTGAGTAAATAGTTATGTTGTTGGAGATGCAGTGAAATTAATAATTTATTTAAATATATGTTTCTAAAGTGTCCAACAACTGTTCCATTTGGGAAAGAAGTTATTACATGCATTAACTCAACTTTGAGATTCAATATTTTTAGATATCTATATTAACCCTATCTTGTGGGAGCTGACATCTGGCAAAGAAAGTGTATTTTCCGTACCTTACTTACAATTAAAAGACATGCTGTTCAGCACTAGAAAGACAAACATACAGTTCCAACTATTCAGTGGTCTGCAGAATTGATCAATATAGATTAGCTATGGATAACTGTAACAAATTATGCTTCCATTCATTGAAAGGTTTACTGTACAACTTTATGTATGTATGTATATATGTAAATATATGCCCTGTATGTTTTTGTTTCTTTTTTCTTTTATAATTTTGTCTATTCTTTTTGTTTTTTGTATTTAGTTACGGAACAGTAAAAAAAAAAATCTAAATTGCTGAATTCCTTGTGGGAAAGAAGTGCTTTAAGGTGTGAACCATCTCAGCCAACAATTTGTTTTGTATCTTATGATCACTTGATGGTATAAATCAACTTGAGCATTTGGAGAGTCTTTTAAAAGAAATACTGTTTAGATTGCTACCATATTACTTACTACATGTAATATAGGGGGGTGTTATTTATTTATTTATTTATCAAATTTATATGATATAGACAAATTTTTATTGTCTAAGGACACATTTTTATTGTATGATTCAGCTACAATGAAGCCTTGTGACATTTTAAAAATTCAAAAATTGATTAAAGCATAGGCTGGACTACATTCCTATGCCACATTATGTCCATCACATTACCTATATGATACACCACCCTAACAGGAGAATGTTCATATATTCCACAGGACAATATTCCATACATCTGATGAAGTAGATTTCATTGCACAACTGCTATAACAAAGGTGTAAATTAAAGTGTAAAGAGCCTCTTAGTTTTATATTTTTATGTGCAATTGTTTAGGTAAGAAAATAATTAGAATTGAGTGATAAAGCTGTAAAAAGTAATTCTGCAAACTGACAGCATCTGACCTATTGCTACTGACTTAAATACTTAAAATGCTTTTATTAGGCTAAGTATTGATGCCAAAAAGCTACATTATCAGGTAGAATGTGGAGGAGACCGAACATACTCAAATTAGGGATGAGGAGACATTAAAACCATTTCTGGTTGCCTCTAGGACTCTCCCAACTGCTGCTTGTACAAAACAAAAACAACTGTCTGAGCACCCATTTTAGGCTATTCCTCAGCACTACTTTCATTAAAAAGATAAATAAATCGATTCCTTGATAAAAAAATTTTCCTTATAGCCAGAAGAGTGCTTGCTTTTTTTGAACTGGTATTTCATTACCATATACTGCTAAACTGAACACAGAACCAGCTAAAGGTGAGGCAACATCTAACTTCTGGGA